ACATCGCACTCATTATGTATGTATATACCCATCCCCTCCTCCCCCCTCCCATCTGCCCAACGCCCGATAAATGTTATTCCTATATGTGCACTTAAGTGTTGATCAGTGAAACCAATTTGCTGGTGAGTACATGTGGTGCTTATTTTTCCATTCTTGAGATACTTCACTTAGTAGAATGGGTTCCAGCTCCATCCAGGATAATAACTAAAGGTGCTAGATCACCATTGTTTTTTGTGGCTGAGTAGAACTCCATGGTATACGTATACCACATTTTATTAATCCACTCATGCATTGATGGGCACTTGGGTTGTTTCCACATCTTTGCAATTGTGAATTGTGCCGCTATACACATTGGAGTGCAGATGTCTTTTTTATAGAATGTGAAGACCACATTTTGAGTAGCAAGGGCCTAGGCCAAGGATGACGAAAGTGTGAACCAGGGAAATGATACTGGCGAAAAGGGGTAGCAAAGGAAAGAAGACAGAATCTGTAGGAATTGTTTATCAATAGGTAGTTCCATTCTCATTTTCCAATTGATTTGTAGGAAGGGTTAAGGGAGCTCAAAGATGATATACCTAGTTAGCAACTAAATTAGGACCAGAACGCAAACCTGCCTATTTCTCATCCCACTTACTTGTTATCCAAGGGAAAGCACACAGTATGGCTACAAAGCATTAGTATTCTAAGTAAAATCAAACAATGAAAGTCTATTACCAATACATTACACACAAAATTTAGTTCATATTTGCTCCATTTTAAATTTATCTTCCTTAACTATTTCTTAAACTCTTTGTGCCTGCTACCGTTATTCTAGCATTAGGTAGAATATATAACCAAAAAATCATGTGTTTTACTATATTAAGTTAAATAAAGCAGCATTTTATGATGTTTAGTTAAGAATACTAGAATATCTAGGAGCTAAGCTCCCAAGTCACTGGGCACTTTTATCCTAGATTTAATTGAGCAAATATTTTACAGTGAAGGCAGGATTTGATCTGGATCTCACAGGATGGGAAAGATCTAGATAGGATGAAAAGAATAAGGAAGGCATTTCCAGAAGTAGAATGGTGGGAATAAGATCCAGGAGCATGAAAATACATGTGAACTGCATAGGCAGTCTTTTCTGCACCAGTTGTATTGGAGAGAATTCCTATTGCAATAGAATGCCTACCACTTGGGGAGATGAGAGGTAGGGGTGGGGGTAGGATGTGACAGTGACATCAAAGAGATGATTATCATATCCACATATCCTTCTGTCTATCTGAATGGGCATGTGTTTAATGACTATCAAACCCCCAGAGGAGGAGGGGGAGACTCTCTAGCTGTTCTGTTCAGGCCCTGACCACTCCCTCCTGTGCCCAGGAAACATTCACAAATGCAAAGGCTCTATGTTTAAGCATCTGAGGAACTGCCAGACTGTCTTCTAAAGCAGCTGTACCATTTTCCAATCTCACCAACAATGTGTGAGGGTTCCAATTTCTCCATATCCTCACCAACACTTGTTATTGTCTGCCTTTTTGATCATAGCCATCCTAGTGGATGTGAAGTGGTAGCTCACTGTGGTTTGGGTTTGCATTTCCCTGAGGGCTAATGATGTTGAATATCTTTTCATGTGTTTATTTCCAACTGGCTCTGGGTTGCTGATTATAGGCATCTATTCCCAACTCTGGTAACAGAGTTACCACATGACCCAGCAATTCTACTCCTGCGTATATACCCAAGAGAATTGAAAACATGTTCACACGCACAAAAATTATACAGGAATGTTCACAGTAATATTATTCATGACAACTAAAAAGTGGAAACAACCCAACTGTTTATTAACTGATGAATACATAAACAAAATTGGTATATCCATACAATGAAACATTATTCAGCCATAAAAAGGAAAAGTACTAATACATACTACAAGGTGGATGAACTTTGAAAACATTATGCTAGGTGAAAGAAGTCAGACACAAAAGGTCACGTGATTCTATTCATATGAAATATCCAGAATAGGAAAATCCATAGAAATAGCAAGTAGCCTGGTGGTTCCCAGAGGCTGGGGGAGGACGAATAGGGAGTAACTGCTTAATGGATACAGGGTTTTGTTTTGGAGTGATGGAAATGTTTTGGAACTAGATTCGTGCCACTGAATTATTCACTTTAAAAAGGTTAATTTTATGTTAATTTCATCTCAAGGAGCCATTTGGAACTGGCTCCAGCCTACCATTCCTGAAGATTTTGCCCTCTTAAGGCAGAAAGATCCCACTGTTTATACCTTATTGTTACGGCAGAATTGACCGGGAATAGACTGAGACTCACACAGAAACATGGCAAAACAGGTTTATATGCAGGTGGACTCAGAAGTGATTTTTCCTCACAAATTCTGAGCCCCAAACAAAGAATGTAGCAGTCTTTTATACATTTTGGTTAAAGGGGGAGTTGGGCACAGTTACAATGAGGTTAGGAGTGGGACACAGTTACAATGAGGGAGGAAGTGGGACACAGTTACAATGAGGTTATCTTTAGCGGGGGCAGGGTCTTGATCCACCTTGGCGCCTGCAGTTTACAGAGGCAAGAGTGACAGCTGTTTGGGGAGATAGCAGGGACATTTGTCAGTGGAGTTTTCTACTTCATTATGATAGTCATATACCACCACTGAGGCAATGAGTACAGAAATGATTAGCAACTTGAATGGGAAGGAGATGAATCCCTGGAGGGCAAGAATTTAATAATATCACAAATATATTACCCCATCTCCTTTCTGTCTACATCTCTGTCTACCTTCCTAATCACCTTTATTGAATACTTAGTATGTGGCAGACACTGTGCTAACAGTTTATTATCTTACTTCTCACAACAATTTTATGTATGGGGAAATTGACAACTGGAAATAGCTAAGATCAGACACTTCTAAGAAGTGGCAGAGATGGGATTTAAACTTTGGTCTCCTATAGCCATGTTCTTACATTCAAATGGAAGTCAGGGGTGGCCATGACAGTGGCCCAAAGCCATGTTCCTTGGGTACCCTCCTCAGGCCATGTGGAAACCGCAACAGTGAGTATGGCTGCTTGCTAAAGACTTCTGTCCCATTTCAGAACTGGTGGCCTTGGAGCCTTCTGAAGAACTGGGGGTCATGGGGCTACTTAGCTGTCAGGAATGATCTAGTCAGGATCATGGGGGCTTGCCCTGATCTGAGGCTTCCTTTGTCATCTCCTTCAGAAAATTCAAAGAGGAATTTAAATATTTGGTATTTTTTTTTTAGGGAACTGAGATGTGTGTTGCTTCCAGGGACCCTTGAGACCATCTTTTCTAAAGACCTCACTTACCAGATAAAGAAACAAGCTTATAGTGGGAAAATGACTTCCCTAAGATCACACGACCAATTCTGTCAAGTATCGCAACTTAGATGAGGAAGGAATTATAAGTTTGTCTACATTCTCAAACTCTCCATTTTCCACTCTTCCTTTTTTTACGTTCTTTCTTTGGTTCTCTAATCTGGATATGCTTTCATAAGAGTCTAGTATACTTACTCAAACCAAGGTATAATAAGATAAAATCTTTTAAAAAAATCTTTATTATAGAATTTTCATATATTGTACATTATTTATTTATAAATAATATGTAATTTATACATATATAATTATATTTTACTGAATGGGTGACTTATTGATTGATTGTTGGAATATTTTAAAGCAAGTCCGGACAGCATACCATTGCAAGGTATATATTCATAAAGCAAAGCAGTGTGATATGTAGCAAAATACAAACAAATACAAAGCCTACACTGGGCTGAAGGTAGGGGACATAGGCCTTGTTTTACTTAGCTCTGCCACTAACTAGCTATATGATCATGGGAAAGTTGTTTAAGCCCTTAGTCTCAGACTTCTTTCCCTTAAAAAAAAACCTCAAGATTTTATCACTTAACAGCATTAAAATTCTATGACAATTCAAATTCGTCTAGGGATATTTGAATTTTAAAAAGGAACAAGTGTTTAATGTTCCCCAGTTATCTGGCAAAGGAAAATGATTTTGGGGAGCATTATTTAGAGCTGTGGGGATAGGAGAGGAATTGTTCAGAGGTCTTAAAGTCACCCTTTGCAAACAGCTGCCAAAACATTTCCACAGAAGGCCGATTTTCACTACCACAGCTGCCAAGTGTGGTTCTGAGAAATGCAAAATTACGCCATCATTCCTCTTTACTAGTGGACTTTCAGGATTCGTTATTTAAATAGCCTGAAGATCATCTATCTGAATTAAATTGGGAAACTATGCTGTAAGGATAAAATGTTTTCCAGCTTCAAACAAATTTCCATTTTCTGAAGTATACAAACACACTATAAGTTGTTTAATCATAAGGTTTTTCTCTTTCTTTTAATGCGGTTTGTGAGAGGTTGGTGGAAGGCTGTTTTTGGAGGTTGAATGCTGCCACCTGCTGGTTGTCACTCAGCACTCAGCTGGAGTAAGGAAATCTTTCTGCCAAGTTGCTCACAGCAAAAAACAAACAAATCTCCACTAAAGGTGTAAGATGTACAAATCAAAAAGCAACTTAAATACTCTAATGGCTTATTATTTTACCCACAAATGTGTTTTTTTCTAATGTAAGTGTAAGGTTTTTGGATGGGTGGCGGCAGAGAAAGAAAGACGAGTAGAGTGTAAAGGACAAGCAATGAGGCTTTATTGGGGGAGGACGAAAGAAAGTGCTCCCGGACGAGGTTCACTGGTTCCGAGAGAGGTGGCCAGGGAAGTCGTGCACCCGGAAGTGTCGAGCGGGCTTATAAAGGGTTTGGAGTTGGGGGATGCGGGTTTCTCTTCCACGCAAACTTTTGGCGCGCAAAATGGAGAGTTCTTTGTTACAGTTTAGGGTGGGACTCATGGCTTCTTTTTCTTTAGGGAGGGGAGGGGTGCCCGCCACCAGCCTTACATTCTGGCCTTTTGGTTATGATATGATGGGTGCTGCTCTTTCTGACTACTTCCTACTGTGATGGGATGTAGTTAGGGGCTATGAGCCAGAGTCAGCTGGTGGAGGGGTCACTGGTTGGGGGGAGTATGGATGAAGAGGTAGTTGGTTTACTGCCACTCGAGATAGTTCCTGTAGGCAGCACTGGAGGAACTGAGCCAGTGAGCACTTTGTAGGCGATCTGTAAAATCGTATAGAGTTAATTAAGGGACTATTATGACAGGGAAACAAGGACCCGGGGTGGATGTTTTGACGCAGCGGGTGAGTCCTGAGGGGAGAGACTTGAGTATCTTAAATCTTGAGACATAAATTGAATCAGGAGCAGCTGTTAGAAGGGCCAGAAGATATAGAAGTCTGCGTAAGACGGAGTTTAGTGGGACCTACCTGGTGGCAGGAGTAGCTCGGGGAAGCATCTTGAGGTGGGGACCTTTTGATGTGTGAGATATGATGCCAAGAACCGGTAGGGTCGTTTAGAAGTTTTACAGCCATAGGTGTTGTTAAAACAACTGTATGGGGCCCCGTCTGCTGGGGCTCAAGGAGCTTAGGGTGAAGAGTTCTAAGAAGTACCGAGTCACCGTGCTGTATACCCCTGTGAGAGATATCAGAGTTGGTCTCCGGCTCAGGCAGGTATCTGTTTGCGTGGGCACGGAGAAGTTCCCTTTGGAGAGAGAGATATGGGAGATACGAGGCCAAAGGTGGGGGCTGGGCTGGAAGATGATGGTTAATGAGAAAAGGCCGGCCATACATGAGCTCAAAAGGGCTCAGATAAGTAGGATTTCGAGGAGCTGTCCTGATCCGGGTAACAGCCAGGGGCAAGAGGTCAAACCATGATTGGCAGGTCTCGATAATGAGTTTGGTGAGGTGGTCTTCTATTAACCTGTTAGCCCTTTCAACCTTTCATGAGGACTGGGGCCTGTAGGGAACATGAAGTTTCTACTCTATATCGAGCACCTCACAGACATGAACAACTTTAGAAATGAAAGCAGGGCCATTGTCAGAGTGAATGGAGAAAGGAAGGTCAAAGTGAGGAATAATCTCTGTGATGAGAGTGGAGGCTACAATTCGAGCAGTTTCATTGGCAGTGGGGAAAGCTTCAACCCAACCCGTGAAGGTATCTACCAGTCTTAAAAGATATTTGAAGCATTTGTGAGCCAGCATATGAGTGAAATCAACCTGCCAGTCTTGCCCGGGGAGGTGTCCGTGCATTTGATGGGTAGGCACGGGGGGTTTGAGGCCCCCCTGAGGATTGACAGGAGCACAAATGTCACAGACTGAGCAGACAGTTTCGATAAGGGAGTTTAGTGAAGGGTGTGAAAATAGAGGCTGTAGAAAGTGGAAGAGAGGCCAATGAGTTCTAGGGCTTGTGTCTTAGGGAGGGCCAATTTGCCCTGTAGTATGACCCACCCTTCAGTGGTGATTGAGCCCCCCTCAGCGAGAAGTCTGTTGCGTTCTTCTGGAGTGTAGTGAGGCTGGAGAGAAGGAATGGAAAGGAAAAGAAGAGGAGCCGGACTAGGGTGTTTTGGGGATGTTAGGCTGCGGGTGACAGCATCAGCATGGTTGTTCCCCTTAGTGACAGCGGACCCATCCATCTGGTGTCCCTTGCAGTGTATGATAGGCAATTGGTTGGGCAGCTGAAGGGCCTCGAGGAGACGGGAAATGAGAGTGGCATTGGCAACAGGGGAGCCCTTGGTGGAGAGAAAACCTCGTTCTCTCCATATGGCAGTGTGGCAGTGAGCTATCATAAAAGCATATTTAGAGTCAGTGTAGATATTGGCAGTTTTACCTTTGGCTAGATGTAAGGCTCGGGTAAAAGCAATCAGTGAGACAAAGGCATAGGCTGCCTGGCGCCTGCCGTTATCTCTCACAGAAGAGCTGCCATTAACAAACAATGTTAAATCTGTCCTGGGGAGGGGTCGGCCTTGCTGCCATCAACAAACAATGTTGAGTCTGCCCCGGAGAGGGGTCGGTCCACTAGGCCGGGCCTGGAGGTGGTGGCCGCTTCGACTAACTCAGAGCAAGAGTGAGAGGACAGGGTTAAGGATGGGATGGGAAGTAGAGTATCAGGATTTAAGGTTGGAGACTGTGTTAAGGTAATGGTGGGATTTTTCACAAATAGGAGATGGAATTCCTGTAATCTAGGAGTGAGGAGTGCCAAGGAATGGTGAGTTAGGAGGCCTTGGAGGGGATGGGTAGAAAAGACATGTAGATCCTGTCCCAGGGAAAGTTTTAGTGCCTCCCTAGCCAGAGTAGCTGCCGCGACCAGTGCCTGGAGACGGGCAGCCAGCCACGGACCGTGGTGTCCAGTTGTTTGGATAAATAAGCTACCGGAGTAAAGGTGGGTGGGTTTTAGGAGCCCAAAGGTTGGGTGAGGACACCGAGGGCCAGGCCTTGGTGTTCATCCGTGTAAAGGTAAAAAGGTTTTTCAGGATGAGGGAGTGTTAGAGGGAGTGCTTGTAGGAGAGCATCACAAAGTTTCAGAAAGGCTTGGCAGACAGCCTGAGGGTTTAATAGAGGGCCCGCGGATGCATCACGTGCTGCCTCATAGAGGGGGTTAGCAAGGAGAGAAAAGTTGGGGATCCAGTGTCGGAAGAAACCAACGAACCCAAGGAAGGACAGAATTTGTTCAGCAGTGGTGGGTGGCTGGAGGTTGCGAAGAGCCTGCTGGCGATCCACAGTGAGATGACAGGAAGTGGGGGTGAGGCGAAGTCCAAGGTAAGTGACAGTGGGCATAGACTGCTGAACTTTGGAGGGGGACACCCGATAGCCCTTAGAGGCAAGAAAGTTGAGGAGAGAGGCAGTGTGAGTCTTGGAGTGTTGTAGAGAGGGACTACAGAGCAGTAGGTCATCAATGTATTGAAGGACGGTGCTAGGTTGTAAGGGACATTGAAGTAGGTCCTGGGCCAGAGCCTGTCCAAATAGATGGGGGCTGTCCCGAAACCCCTGGGGCAGGACAGTCCAAGTGCATTACCTGGATGTGTTTGTGTCAGGATCTTTTCACGTAAAGGCAAAGAGGTTGTAGCTGGCTGCGTCTAAGGGGATAGTAAAGAAGGCATCTTTGAGGTCCAGGACAGAAAAGTGGATAGTGGAGGGCGGAATATGAGAAAGTAAAGTGTAGGGATTAGGCACTACAGGGCATATGGGAACAACTGTCTCGTTAATGAGTCTGAGGTCCTGGACTAGCCTGTAGGAGCCATTTGGCTTTTTTACCGGGAGTATGGGTGTGTTATAGGGGGAGTTGGTCGGAATTAAGAGTTTTTCACGCAGGAGACGTTCTATAATGGGTTTTAGACCTCTGCGGTGGGTTGGTGAAATAGGGAACTGTGGGCGGTAAGGGAAAGATGAAGGGTCTTTGAGTCGAATGAGGACGGGGGTGTGGTGTGTGGCCACCACTGGGGTGGAGGTGTCCCAAACCTGAGGGTCTACGAGTTTAGGCGGAAGAGGGTATGTAGGGCTTGGTAAGGGGGGGGGAGTCTGTGGACGAAACTGAGGAATCTGGAAAGAGAGATAGAAGAAGGGTGGAAGTTCCAGAGGAAAAGTGGAGGGTGGTGCCCAGTTTGGTTAATAAGTCCCTTCCCAATAGTGGAGTGGGACAGGAGGGCATGATAAGGAAGGAATGGGTGATGGGGCGGCCATCTATTAGGCAGGTTAGGGGACCAGTGGTGGGGGCTGAGAGGGATTGCCGTCAATATCCATGACCGACACCTGGGAAGGATAAGTAGGGCCTGAAAAAGAAGGCAGGACCGAGTAGGTAGCCCCTGTGTCCACCAGAAAGGACACTGTCTCACCCGCTACCTTGAATTTCACCCTGGGCTCGGCGAGGGTGATCGGGGTTGCCAAGTCAGGGCCTCTTCAGTCTTCAGCAGCCAGACCCCAAACCCAAATGGGGCAAACAGACAGGAACAGTTTCCTGACTACGGAGGCCACAGAAGTCTGGAGGACGTCTCACCGAGACTAGTGCGCCGGAATGGAAAGGGGGAGAGAGGATATCAGGCGTCCCTGAGTAACCTCAAGCCCCGTAACGGGGGGAGCCTCTGACGTGGGCCCACGGTTTAATGGACCGGAACAGGATCCGGTGGAGGGAACAGAGACTCTCGGTGGGGGATTCGGGTTGAGATAACACAGGGTGACTCACCCAGGCCGAGAGAGAATCAGGGACTTGAGGCGTGGCCGAAGATCCTTGTCCGGAGGGTCTGCGGAAGGGGGAGCACCGCCCGGAGACCACGGTCCTGGCGGCGCCACTTGCCCTTCCCGGGTTTCCGCACCAAATGTAAGGTTTTTGGATGGGCAGCGGCAGAGAAAGAAAGACAAGCAGAGTGTAAAGGACAAGCAACGAGACTTTATTGAGGGAGGGGGAAAGAAAGTGCTTCCGGACGAGGTTCACTGGTCCCGAGAGAGGAGGCTGGGGAAGTCCAGCACCCGGAAGTGTTGAGCGGGCTTATAAAGGGTTTGGAGTTGGGGGATGGGGGTTTGTCTTTGGCGCGAACTTTTGGCGAGCAAAGTGGAGAGTTCTTTGTTAAAGTTTAGGGTGGGACTCATGGGCTTCTTTTTCTTTAGGGAGGGGAGGGGTGCCCACCACCAGCATTACAGTAAGTAAATTCAAAATTTGTAAAATATATTAAAGTTAATGTGGGAAAACACAAATTTCCTATTGCTCCCAAATTCTAACATGTGTTGGTGCATTTTTTCCAATCTTTGTTTATTGCATTTTGGCAATGCTCTTCCATTCAACAAATATTTATCGGACACCTTCTATATACCAGGCACTTTGTTAGGCACTGGGGACAAAACAGAAATATTGAGACAGATGGAGAGAGGTAGACAGGGAGTAGGCACTATAATTTCACCTGATCTTGGGTAGGAATTTTGGTTACCACTAAGGAGTAGTATACTGTGTAATCTCAAACTTTAGTATGTACAAGAATTCTCTAGAGGGTTTGTTAAACATAGATTGCTGGGGCCCACATCAGAGTTTCTGGTTCAATGGACCTTGGGTGAGGTCTGAGACTTTGCAAGCTCCTAAGTGATGCTGATAGTGCTGGTCTGAAGACCACACTTGGAAAATTAATGCTATGATTGGTGGAGGCTAGGATTGGTGAGGCAAAAATAGAAAACTCAGTTTGCCTGTTTCTTTGTTCACATACTGCCAAATGGCTAGAATGCTTATCTCTGGGCATTGTCCAAACTGATCGTTTGTGCTCCTGTACTTGTAAAGTTATTCAAGATAGAGAGGGAGAGAATTGTGAGTTATTAATATATGGCTGCTGTTTAACATAGAAAAAAGGCCATTTGAAGCTTGCGAAATATTGCTAGGTTCATTGCCTTATCATGTCTCTCATTACCTGTTATTACCCATCGGCAAATAAGACATTGAAAACAGTATATGTATCCTGTATTATCTGGTGATGAGGGTATGAGAAAACAAGCCTTTTCATATTCTGGTAGTGGGGATGTCATATGGTACAACCTTTCTGTACAGCAATTTACCTATACATGTAACATTCTAAATATGTACTATTTGATCTAGCAACTCTACTTCTGGAAAATTATCATATGGAATGAATCGGAGACGTACTGCAAAGAAATAGGTGCGTGGAACCTCATCACAAGCATAATTTACAAAAACTCAAACTGGAAACAGCCTAACTGTCCATCAATGGGGAATTAGATAAATACGGTAAAAAGCTTTACTGTGGAAGAAATCGTAGTGACAGGAAAATAAATATGGACATAGATATTACAATTGTATGTGTGTATGTGATAATTTTGGGTATTTTGTATTTTATAAAATTTCTACAACTAACATGTATTGTTTTATGACCAGAAGAAAATTCTCTCTTCAAATCACTTGATACAAACTACATTAAGAAGCTTCAGGCATATTGTATTTCTCTATAGCAAAGCTACAGCAAAGTCTACAGACCTTAAGTCAAACTGATGATCATTTTGCTTCTCAACACAATGTTTTTTTTTAATTCGGGATATTATGGGGGTACAAACATTTTGGTTACATGTAATGCGTTTGCCTTGCCCAAGCCAGGGCTACAAGTGTGCCCTTCCCCCACACAGAGGGCTCCACTCCGCCTCCATCAGTTGTGGGTTTATCCCCCCATCGCCCGCCCCCCAGCCGGCACCCAGTGAGTATTACTACCATGTTAGCACCTTAGTGTTGATCAGTTAGTACCAATTTGATGGCGAGTACATGTGGTACATGTTTTTCCATCCTTATGATACCTCTCACTTCGAAGGAAGGGCTCAATCTCTATCCAGGATAGTATAAGAGATGCTAGTTCACCATCGTTTTATGTAGTTGAGTAATATTCCATGGTATACATATACCACATTTTATTAATCCACTCATATATTATTATGAAAGTCTTTACTGTCTGTTAATTTGGTTCAGAAAGCAATGGTACAAGTGAACCAGACTAGACTCCAATTTTCCTATATCTCTATATTGTATTACATTTTCCTTGCACAATTAACTATTAAATGTGAGGACAGAATTTGTTAAATTAGGCTAAAAATCACCAGCCTTACATGGAAGTACCACATAGTTATAAACTTACCATTTTCAGTATACCCTAACAATAATTTTAGCTGGACACAGTAGTTGAGGTCCAAACTGCACTTTGATAATCTGCCCATATCAAGATCACTATCACTTGGGACACCATGTATCAATGGACAGGAAAAGAGTCACATTTATATTTAAATTTCATTTATTTAACGTGTTCACAAAAAATGACAGAAGAGTGTAAAAGTCTTATAAGTTTATATCAAAAGTAAAAGCACAAATTCCTAGAAAAACTATAAAAGCTAGGATACAAATTTAGCATTTTAGTAGTCAAATAGCAATATTCAGTCTTACTAACTGATCTTTGAGGCACAGAATATTTCAGAAAAGGTATTCATTAATTGCTTTGCTAGATTGATGAAATAGAGCTTTCTTAAGACTCAAAGGTATGTTCTAGAGCTCAAGGAACAAATTAAAACAAAGAAACAAATTCTCTAATGTTGTAAAAACATATAATTCTGTAAATATGGCTGTTTTTCTAAAATCTATCATTCAAAATCTTCTTTCTTGCTCACCTTCCTGTTCTTTTATGCAAACAAAGCCAAACATTTTTTTCTTCCATGTAAACATTTAGTTTTGGCAGATTACTTATATTAAAACTTACATAAGGAAAAAATACTTTCACAAGAAGAGTAAAAAGTTCAATACTGAAAGAATAAATGCTTTGAAATGCTTTTCTAAATGTTTTTGAATATAATTCACTACAATCTCCCTGTTAACAGCAGACCTTTAATAGAAACAGACCTTTTGGTCTTCAGATGTTGAATGCTGATCTTTTAACTTTCAGCTTAGAGAATCTCTCATCAAGTGATACTGCAGTCTGTGAAGAAAAGAAAGAAAAGCTGTAACTTTGCGGGGTTAGCAATCTTACGAAATACTCATGAAATTTGGTTACTAAAAATAGACAGGGATAGTTAGAGAAGATTCTGAGTAACAAGTGGGAGCCTCTGAGTTTGAAGAAACTGCCCTGTGACCTTAGATACATGAATTGGTTTGCCATCTCTGGTATGCCATTGAGGCCACCTCTTGGTTCTTATAGGATAAATAGTGGCATTGAAGGGCATAATGGAAGAGCAGGGAAGAAAGAGTAAGTAGGTAAGGTTCCACAGTGGAATGAGGGTCAGACTTACCTCTATGCATTGTAGATCAAATGTTTTGACTATGCTTAGGGAGTTGGTGATCTGCCTTGTGAAGACAACCCTAGGACCAGGTGACTTCCAATTGATGTTATTAGTCTACAGCCAACTGGAATACCTTAAAGATCACCCAAAACTTAAATTTCCAGTTTCATCCTTATATAGACTGCCACTGAGCCTAAGTTTCTTTCTCCACCTTCCAGAAACACCCTTTCCAACATCACTTCAAAACCTACATCAGAAACCAGATTAGTACTACATTGAAGCACAAGTAGTCTATATTTATTACCATATATCGCCTATTTTCCACTTATGGGTCATATACTTTTATGCAGAACACAATTAATCAAAACATGGATGGAATAGTGTACTCTGATTAATTTACCCTGTTGCTAACTGAAGGATGACAGAAAATTCTTCTGGTTACAACTCTTGCTGTGAAAATCATTAAAAATACATTAGTATACTTTCTTGCTTTAGTATGCGGTCTGGTAGACATAGATGTCTCCTTGATAAGTGAGAATTATGTTGAGCCTTAAGGCCACCACAGATGTAAACATATACAGTTGGCCTTCTCTATCCATGGGTTCTGCATCCATGGACTAAACCAACAGCAAACCAAAAATGTTAAAAAAAAAATGAATGGTTGCATCTGTACTGAACATGTACAGACTTTTTTCTTGTCATTATTCCTGAAATAATATAGTATAACAACCATATACATAGCATTTACATTGTATTTGATATTATAAGTAATCTAGAGATGATTTAAAATATATGGGAGGATGTGCATAGGTTATATGTAAATACTACGCCATTTATATCAGAAACTTGAGCATCCATGGGTTTTAGTATCCAGTGGGGCCCTGGAATCAATCCCCCACAGATACTGAGGGACAGCTGCAATAGACTGGACTAAATCCATGTTCAACTTGAAGTTCATTTAAAAATAAGTAATTGAGATTGGTTTATTTTCTTGACCTTCGTGTCTCTCACCAAGGTTTAGCATAGGGAAGAGATTTCTTATGTATTAACGGTTCCAGATAGGTTCTGCTTAACCACATTTTTTCCAATACATAAAAGATACCTAAGATAGACATGAATTCTTTAACATCACATGAAGAAGTTTATTGTGCAATTCTATTAAATTTACCTGATTACCCAGTGCCTGATACTCGAATTCCAAGCATACTCCTTTGGGCTTATTCGGAGAATTGTCGATTGCAGCATATTTTCTTTTCAGGAGTAAATCTTTAAACTCACGTCTTATGGATCTGTCAATTAAACATAGTATTTAATAAAAACGTATTTGACAGCCACTAATTAGATGAGCAATTTTGGATCATTGAACTTAACCTCTTTAAGTCTCATTTTCACCAGTTGTAAAATGAAGATGGTATATTTTCAAGAATCCTCAAGCTTCCTTTTACTAGTAAGATTTCAAGTTCTGAATCAGGGAGCATTTGTACAGCATTCAGGAGGATCAAATGCATGCATTAATCTAGACTTTTTAATATTATTACTTCAAAATCCTAACATGAGTTTTTCTACTCTTTAAATGCCAAAGCAGTTTTTCTATTTTTAGAGTATGGTTATGCCTATAAGCATTTTGGGACAAAAGCAGACATAGCCTCCATATAGAGAGAAAATGGATTCATGGTTGCCTTGGGCCGGGGATAGGGGAGGGAAGGGAGAGAATGGGGAGTGATTCCTAATGGGTATGGAGTTTCTTTTGGAGACAGTGAAAATGTTCTAAAATTAGATTATGGTGATGGTTATACAACTGTTAATATACTAAAAGCCATTGAATTGTATACTTTAACTTGGTGAACTTTATGATATGAAAATTATATCTCAATGAAGTTGTTACTAAAAAAGTAGTTGGAGCACATGGATATATAGGAATTAATATGAAAAGGAGCCCACCTATCAAAAATGTTCATTCTGCCCCATTACAGAGGTATGCAACATGGCAGAATGAAAATGAAAATACAGGGCCTCCTGTCTGGTTGCTAGTAGGTCTGGTTCTTGCTTCATCTCATTATAACAGATCTTCATGTAAATAAACAGTACAGAAAATTTTTTTTTAATGAGCGGATAAATATTTCAAGGGAATATGTTTACCACATGTAGTTACACTCTATCAGAGGTAGAGTACAACAAAAGCCCAAATGCTGTGTGGTTATCTGGATGTTGTTATAGTCAGTGGTTGTATAGTCAGTTGAGTTGTTATAGTCAGTGGTTTTAAATAAGTCAGGTATTTTTTCACTGTTTTTTTTTTGGTCTAGTTATAAATATTGCTCCTTCTATGATCCAACTGTACCAAAACTGTGTTTGTTTTGGGAAAAAGGGGGAGAGTGCTCTGAGTAATTAAATAAATGTTTCCCAATTAATTTTTATTTGTAATTTCTCTTTCCTTTTCTTTATTTTCTCTAACGACATACATCTGAGTTGGCCTAATCTAACCATATGATAAAAGCAAAAGGGGCAAAAGAGGAAGTCAGAATGATTCAAAGAGTGAGAAGGACATGACATGCTGTTGTTGGTTTGAGGATGAAGGGGCCACATGAGAGGGAATTCAGGCTGCCTCTAGAAGCAGGGTGGCCCCTGGCTGATAGCCAGCAAAGAAACGAAAACCTCATTCTCACAACCCCAAGTGTTAGGTAGATAGCAAGTGACTCCAGGTCTCCTAGGGACGAAAGTGGGTGCTGCTGTGATTCACTCCGCCCACCAAATGGGCTTTCAGAGAGGCTCATGGGAGATCTACATGCACAGTGAGGCTCAGGTCATGCAACTCTCAACTGTCCAATCAAAGTGGTTCCATGGTGATGTCTGAACCACGAGGGAGGTCCCAATGCAGGGACTATAAAACAAGACGCAGACCATAAGCAGTCCCTTTTTTGTGCCCTTCCATTTGCTCTTCCTTTGCTGCAACAATGGGTCTGGTTGTCATCTGTGGCATATATATCACGCTCTGTAAACCTATATGTTGCTCTTGCTCTATAATCCTATCTTTCTCTCCTCAATAAATCTCATTTTCATGCTTGCCTAACTTTGGCATGTCTGGTCATTCTTCGGACATGAGTCTGCCAAGAACTGACATTTCAGACTAAAATCTGACACAAGGAACTGAAATTTGCCAATAACCAGAATGAGCTTGGAAGGAGATTCTTCCAAAGAGCCTCCAGATAAGAGGGCAGCTTGGCCAGTACCTTAATTTCAGCTCTATGAGACCCTAGGTGGAGAGCCACCCAAGCATGCCTGTAAATCTGATCTGTGAGACAATAAATGGGTGCTGTTTTAAGCTGCTGTTTGTGGTAATTTGTTTAAGCAGCAATAGAAATCTATTAATATCCTAGGATTTTAGAGAATTTAACTTCTTTACTTGTATTTGCAGAGAGACAATATGGGAGCATAGAAAGCCCACAGGTTTTATAGCCATACAAACCAAATTTAAATATAGCTTCTACCACTTATTGGTTGTACGATTTCAGGGAAGTTATCATAATGTACCTTACTGAGGTTTAGTTTATTCATCTGTAATATGGAAATGTTAATACTGTGAACTAAAATAAAATCTTAAGGCTTCCTCCCAACCAGCTGACTGGAATGGATCCCCTCTTGGCCAAGAGTATGTCCTAAAACTCAATTATAGGCCATGAAGAAGAAGGTCAGACATGCCTCATCATGCCCCCTCCCTTCCTGTAGATATCCTTTTGTAACTCATTGAAGGCCTAAGGCTATGCAAGACAAACCTGCAGGTCCTCAATTTACATAACAAATGTATGTCCAGTGGCTTGTCTCTGATTAACAGACTTCCTTATCTTAAGACATTCCAAGCCTTAGGCAAAGCTGCATGTCTTTAACCAATTATAAGTCAAAGAGTCTTTAAACCCACCCATAACCTGTAAAAATCTGTCCCCCCTTTGAGATGGCCCATTTTTTCCGGCCAAGCCAATGTATGCCTTCCATATATTGATTTATGAATTTATCTGTAATCCCCATCTCCCTGAAATGTATAAAACCAAACTGTTACCCAGCCACAGTGAATCCACTTGCTCAAGGCTTCTTGGGTGTCACTGCGGGCTGTGGTCCTCAAATTTGATCCAGAATAAACCTTTTTAAATTATGTTACAGAGTTTGGCTTCTTTTCTGTTGACAATACCTACTGCACAGGACTGCTGGGACTAAATTAAATCACAAATGTAAAAGTGCTTACTTAGCATAGTGCCTAGCACATAACATAGGCACTCAGTAAATGCCAGCTATTATTATTAATCTGCTTCTAAGTTCACAGCTCTCTCAATCCTTTCACAGGTGCCTTTGGTGAGGCCCATTTCAAAGGGAGTGTAATGGCATTTTTCCCTTTCCTGGTTGTGGATCTGAAAGGACACACAGATGCTACAGATATTACTCATAAGGTTCAGGACATGCTGCCCCAGAATACCCCAGAGTATACTCAAAATATGCCTCTTTTCCAGACGATTTTTCTGAGCTAATTATTTTGACAAACAGCAGACACAACAGAAGCTTTGAAAACAGAGTAGACGTTACATTGTTGTAAGAGAAATTTACGTCTTTAAAGGAAATCTCCACTGATAAGGTTGTCTCCCTCACACACCAGGAACAGAAGGATCAGCAACAAACTTTGCTCAAGTTTACTCTACTTACCCTCACCCCCTACCATCTCCTATAACTGGCCTTTCCCCACACTTTTCTTTCTTTGTTTCAGGGAGGATGATATTTAAGCCTGAAGTGTAACACAACTCTTTGAGATCTACTCTTGTGATTTACTCTTGGAGATTTCCTTGAGCATCTCTCATATACACAGCAGGTATATAGGCGAGAAAAGAAAAAAACTTTTACCTGAGGAATGTGAGTCCTTTTAAATTATCAGGTCCTGAGAGATGTTAAAATGGGATGGCAATCATGTCCTACTCTCCACTTTGACCTATGTATTCATCTCTTGAAACTGCTTGCTATTGCCACAAGTAGCTATAAATTAACCTAATAATGCCACATCAGATAATATAACCCATACCCTATAGCTTAACAATGTATTTATTAATAGCTAATCACTAATCAATGTTATTTCTGTAAATCAGTGAGAATTCCTGACAAACAACTTTGGAACTAAGATCATTTGGAACACCGGAATTTATTTAGCATGTCTAGTATATATTATTATTAAAGAGCAGAAGAGTTTTAAATCTTAAGATTGAAAATGAGGAAAAATGTTCATGGCACTGAATTTTTTGGGATGACAACTCTTTCATGCTTTAAGCGGAAGGGGTATAACATTAACACATTTATATTCACCGTAGGAAGATGATGCATGGAAATTTCAAAAGTAAAAATAAAATCAAGCCAAGTCGTTTTACTTAAGAATTTTCTGGTTCTGCATTAGGATTGTTTACGGAAGTTGTTATGAATTGTTCAGAGTAAGATTCTAGAGGGGCCCTGCTGGAAGTTACAATTATTCCTTTTTGTTTCATATTTTCCCCTAGGAATAATCAAATGCAGTTATACAGATGTCAGTCTGCAATTACCTTTCAGAGTTTATCTCATCTTCATCATTGTTGTTGCCCTCATTTTCTGGTGTTAGCTAAATGAGAAAAGTTGAAACAAATCATGCAAAAGTCTTTCGTCCTTACTCAGTACAAGGTTTTTATTGTCTATATTTAAAATTAACTCAACATTTTCAATGACAATCTCTTTGCTTGATCCTCAGTCTAACATTCAATTTAAGATTTTTCACCCCTATTCACAGATACAAGAATGTCAAAGCCAGTGACCCGCTTAGAAATCAAGCAGCCCAACTCCTTCAAGTAACAGACAAGAAAACTGGGATTCAGAACAATCAAATGACTTCTCCAAGGCCTTATATCTAGTAGTGATCCAGAAGAAAACTCTCTAAGATCTTGATGTAGCCTGGATTCAAACACTGCTTGTCTGGATGTAGGGAAAAGATCATAGTTATAGATAAAATCTACAAAGGGTGTCCTCAAAATCTTTATATATATAACAGGCCTGTGACTGACTATATTCAAGATAGCTAAGTGAGGTAGAAAACTGTATGGTCCTAATAACTTAATTTTAGAAAGTCTCACTTCTACTCCAATCAGACATTTCAGGTAAAAGTTAGAATTTTTCCAATAATTAATTTAAATCCTTTATTCCTGAAATGACTTTGTAAGTGACAACATAGGTTATACCTACATGTGGTCAATGAAACAGACCAAAGCGTAATCAAAGTATTATATTCAAATATTAATTGGCCCAGATCACTTCATAACTGAATTGGTTGCAGTGCATCCAGTTATATGCAGCAGGTGTTTGGGGTGGTCCAGCTATTTTTACATAAGGTCCTAGCCATATAGTTTGCAGTGGATTTGGTATCAAGAACCCTACAAATAATATAGCAACAAGGAAGTCTGCAGAGCCAGTAGACTATAAAAGCACAATAACACATGTAGGTATTCTTGACAGTTAATGTTTATAGATCAAATATTCTCTTACTAGAAAGTTCATGCTCAGGTTGGAAGCACATATTAGTGTTTACAAGTAAACATGCTGCTAAAGGCAGCTTAAATTCAAGATGAATGTATGTCTAATGGCAATGTCTCCATAAGTTAAAGAGAGCCTCATGTACCCACACCCCATACTCTACTGGTGATACTCATTAACAGTGACCTTGCCAAGAACTAAAGAAAGAGGAGGATGCCACTAGAATGGAGGGATTGTTTATATGGGAACCACTGGCAATTATGGCAGATTATCAAGGAGTGTAACTAGGTAGTAGAGAAGCCAGAGTAGTAGAAATGGGAATAGGAGCCATGGAAACAGGGAAATGAGAGCAGGAACTAGAATTAGCAACTATTGGGAAAATGGGTTTTAGTTGATGTGATTATTTTTAAAATAAATTGGTCAATAACGTCGTTTCCCTACTTAAAGTCTTTCAACAGTTCTGCATTGCCATCAAATACAGACTCCATGATGTGGCTCCTGACTCTCTATCCCTCCACACTCACCTCTCAACAGTTCTGCTCACACATTTTACACTTGAGCTCAATGATGTTCAAACTATGTTTTAAAGTGGAAGAATCCCTAGTTCTAATAAAATCTTACTTGGTATCCCAATATGCAAAATCTTTAAAAGCAAGGCTGCCTTCATTGGCCCGAGGCATCTCTTCACAACCCCTAGGACTCTGCAGTACGCAGTTTGAAAACCACTTGCAGTGGGGACAAACTAAGCTAACTGCAGCTTACCAAGTATGCCAGGCTCTCTCTCATTTCTGCACCTTTACACGTGTTGTTTCCTCTAACTGGAATGCCTTTTCAACCTTTTCTGCTTTGCTTACTCCTACTCAGCCTTTAAGACTCAACTCAAATTCTATAACCATTAGTAAGCCTTCCCTGACCTCCCTAACTGGTTTGGGACCCCCTTTCCTATACTGCCATAGTAGCTGGGACATACCTTTATCTCAGCATTTATACTGTGTTTTTATTATTTATTCATTACTGGGAGCAAAGATTCTTTCTCAAGTACATAGCACATATCTGGTATATAATAAGTGCTCAGTAAGTGTTCAATGAATAAATGAAATACTACAAAGAAGTAGAGGAAGAAGGGAACTAAGAAAAGGCCATTGAATTTGGTAAGAAGGAAGTAATAAAAAACTTTTGATAGTAAAATTTAGTAGAATGTTAGGACTGAAATCAGAGTCAAGAAATAAATGGGCAAACAGAAATGCCTATGAGGTTTTTAACTGTATTTGAAAGTCTATTATAAACTTTGTTCCCATTTAAAGAATATTCATATTTGCCCCCATATTCCCATGGGGATTTTTAACTTCACATTGCAAATCACTTGAATAATGACTGAACATGTGTGTGTGTGTGTGTGTGTGTATACACATAAATATGAATCATATAAAACTAATTAAAATGTAAGAACTTTTTTAAAAGCATGCATTTTTAAAAGTAATCACATCAATATGACCATAATGAACATTTGGTGATTATAATAAATAATTTGACATAATCATAATCATAGTAATGATAAAATAATAAGAACTTCAATTTATGTAGTACTTACTATAATCCAATCTTTATCCTAAAATGTTTACATATATTTCAATTAATCATCACAACAAGCACACTAATATGTGCTTCCAACCTGAGCATGAACTTTCTAGTAAGAGAATATTTGATCTATAAACATTAACTGTCAAGAATACCTATGAGGTAAATATTCTTCCAATTTTATAGTTGAGAAATCAGATTCAAAGAGACTTGCCCAAGGTTCTTCAGCTACTATGTTTCATCAAATCTAAGAAACCATGATTGTAACATTCACTATTATCTTAAGAACCACTGAAAAGATTTAAAAGTTGTCAATTTAACTATGGTTAAATATGAGACACTTCCTAATCTCAGAGATGTTAAAACCTGAAAAAAAAAGGTGTGTCTGAGAATTCATGAAATATGGCATTAAGTGGTAGAAATATGATTCCATCCAAGTGTCCCTGGTCATTAACCACTGCACCATAATGCTGAGAACTCTTTTGACATCTCATATATGGCTTTCATTCTAATCCCTTCATTTTACAGGTGAAGAAACTGATTGAGAGCAGGGGCAGTGACTTGCTCAAGGTTATACACCCAGGTAATAAGTGGAAGAGCTAGAAAGGAAAACTAAATCTCTGAGACCCAGACTAGTCCTCTTTTACACTATGTCACATTGCCATTTAAGCTAGGTACAAAGGTATTGGAAAAAATATCCAAATGTCAGTGCAGGAATAAGTACAAGGTGTTTTATGTAGGAGCTAAATCTACTCAATAAAACATTTCATCTAAATGCTTCCATCAAACACCTGTGTTCTGTATTAAAGATGGAAGTTTCCAGCAAAATAGACTTAATTGGCTTAATCAATATACTATTCACATCATTTCTTGCAATTGGTTGTTCACAGATATTCAAGAAATAAATAACAAATAAAGTAGGCAATGTCCTAGGGACACAATGGTTGTAAAACAGATTGTTCAAAATAACACATGCAGCCAGGTGTGGTGGCTCATGTCTGTAATCCTAGCACTTTGGGAGGCTGAGATAGGAGGATTGCTTGAGGCCAGGAGTTTGAGACCAGCCTGAGCAAGAGACCCCATCTCTACAAAAAATAGAAAAATTAGCCGGGCGTCGTGGTGTGCACCTGTAGTCTCAGCTACTTGGGAGGCTGAGGCAGAAGGATCACTTAAGCCCAGGAGTTTGAGATTGTAGCGAGCTATGATGACACCATTGCACTCTAGCACTGGCAACAGAGTGAGATCTTGTCTCAAAATAAATACATAAATAAATAAAATAAAAATTTAAAGAAAATAAAATAATACATACTACTTATTATTATTACTTAATAATAAGTATTATTTGTATAATCTTTGCTTACTTTTGTCTAATGCCCACTTAGAAACTAAATAATATAAAGTAGGATGGGGGATAAGGAAAGGAAGAAGGAAACTTTGCAAGCAATTATTCCATAAGGCTAGAAACACTTGACTCATGTAGAAATGTATGACATGATATGTGGCTTCTTCATACATTGATGTCAATAAACAGGTTTTAAAACATATTAAAGTAATCATCAGTAGAAGTAGATGCCAAAACTAACTAATGGAAGAAACAAAGGCTGCAAAGAGAAAGCCCATTCAAATGAAAATGATACATAAAACCACACAGATGCTGAGTTATAAAGTTGAAAGTGCTGACACTTACTGTTTGTTTCATATTCATTTGATTATTTCTTTCCTGCATCTGTTTCTGGTAGTATTCACTCCTTTGATTCATCATAAAAGCACTGATATTAATCAAAAAGGGTGATAATTTAAAAAAACGATCATTTACTTTGAAAACAATTATTATTTAGAATATATGTCTTCCAGCAATATTCTTTTATTATACATATTTAAACATCTGACTTAAGACTAAACACTAGATGCAATTAAAATCCAGAATGGTGTTTTGATAAGTAATTTTCAGCTTAAGTGTGAATTATTACTTAATGCATGCATAACAACAGATCAGAAGTTAGCTAGGCATATGGTTGAATATTTTTGTTTAAAAATTTAGTTTTCTAGAAGTGATGTAAGCAAGATAGCTGTTATGGACTGAATGTTTGTGCCCTCCAAAAATTCACATATTAAAAAAAAATTACATATTGAAACTCTAACCCCTAAAGTGATGACATTTGAAGATGGAGCATGTGGGAGGTAATTGCATTTAGATGAGGTCATGAGGGTGAGGTGAGGTGTCCTTATAAGAAGAGTAAGAGATTGGGGCTCACTTGCTCTCTGTCATGTGAGGACACAGCAAGAAGATAGCCATCTGAAAGCGAGGAAGAGAGCTCTCTCATCAAGAACTCGACTGTGATCACATCCTGATCTCAGATTTTTTTTTCTGATCTCAGATTTATAGGCTCCATAACTGTGAGAGATTCCTGTTGTTTTAAACATCCCAGTCTATGGTATTTTGTTATGGCAACCCAAGCAGACTAAGACAATAATGGACAGGGAGCTATGGGCCCTCCTTCCCCCAGTAAAGACAGCAAGTTAACAATAATATGTGAACCAAAATACCTTTGTGAGAACTATAGAGACCAGTTGAGAATCTACAGTACTCAGACCACTGTAAAATCAAGGAGGGATTCCAAGCAAAAAGGGTAGGAAAATTTGTGGCATTTGGTACACTCATCTGTGCCCCTCCCCCTATGCAGCATAGGAAACCTCCATAGCAGGGCTCTTCCCTCCAAATGGAAACAAAAGAGTGAACCATTCATCCAACAGTCTGTCTTGTCTGGGGGCTGCCCAAGGGACTGGTTTCTGTCTCACCTGATTCAAGGCACAGACAGAACTGGTACTAGAGTAGGAAAGTCACCAAAAACAGAGGTAAGTAGCATGTTAGAGCCAAATGCCAGGGGCAGTGAGAGATTAGAAATGGTTTGAGAGGTCCTAGAACCTTCAGTTAAGCTGATTGGTGAAGGTCTTTCCCCACACAAAGCCAGTACACAAAGATTGGGAAAGGTGTTTGTTTTTACAACTGCCCCAATTCCAGAGAAAATCTACAAAGCATATAAGAAAATGGGAAATATGACCAAATCAGAGGAACAAAATAAAATTCCAGAAACTGACCCTAAAGAAATGCAAGTCTATGAACTGTGTGACAAAGAATTTAAAATAATTGTCATAAAGAAGCTCAATGAGCTAAAGAGAACACAGACAACTACAGAAAACTAAGAAAATGGTGCATGAACAAAATAAGAGTATCAATGAAGAGGTAGAAGGTATAAAAAAAGAACCAAACAGAAATTCAGAAGCTAAAAAGCACACTAACTGAACTGAAACATTCATTTGTCAGGTTTAACAGCAGACCTGCTCAGACAGAAAAAATAATCAGCAAACTTGAAATGAGTCATTTTAAATCACTGAGTCAGAGACGCAAAAAGAAAAAAAGAATGAAGAAAAATGAAGAGAGCCTAAGAAACTGACGGGGCACTATCAAGTGAACCAATATATGCATTATAGGAATCCAAAAAGGAGAGGATGAGGGTGGGAGAGACTTTCTTTAAAAACTTCCCACATTTGAGGAAATAAATGAGCATACAGATTCAAGAAGCTCAAAAAACTCCAACTAGAATAAACCCAAAACAACCACAACAAGACCTATAGTCAAACTGTATAAAATCAATGACAAAGAGAGAATCTTGAAAGCATCAAGAGAAAAGGGATTCATCACATACAAAGAGGGTTCCATAATATTATCAGTGGATTTCTCAGCAGAAACTTTGCAGGCCAAAAAAGCGTGGGATGATATATTCAAAGTACGAAAGAAAAACACCTACAAGTTCATTACCACTAGACCTGCACTACAAGAAATGCTAAAGAGAATCCAAGTTGAGATGAAAGGACAGTAGAGAGCAACATGAAGCTGTACAAAAATATAATGTTCTCTGGTAAAGGTAAATATATGGACAAACACAGTAATCTGTACTATCGTAATTGTGATGCATTGAATTTATATGACGAAAACATAAAAATAACTATAAATGTATATTAATGAGTATACGATATACAAAGATGCAATTTGTGGCATCAATAACAAAGTGGGAATGAGTGGAGCTGTACTTAGGAGGAGGGTTTCTGAATATAATTGAAGTTAAGTTGTTATTAGTTTAAAATAGAATGCTATAACTTTAAGATGTGATTACAATGATAACCACTAAGAAAATCTCTATAGAATACACAGAAAAAGAAATGAGAAGGGAATCAAAGCATATCACTACAAAAAAAACCAGTGAAAGACAAAGGAAGGCAGTAAGAGAAGGGACAAAATAGCTACAAGACTTACAGGAAACAATTAACAAAATGGCAATAGTAAGTCCTTCCCTATCAGTAATTACTTTAAATGTAAATAGATTAAAGTCCCCAATCAAAAGGTACAGATTGGCTGAATGGATTAAAAAACAGGATCCAATTACATGCTGTCCACAAGAGATTTACTTTAGATCTAAGGACATACACAGGCTGAAAGTGAAATGACAGAAATGCAAATGGTAACCAAAAGAGAGCAGGAGTGGCTATACTAATATTAGACAAACTAGACTTTAAATCAAAACTGTTACAAGAGACAAAGAAGGATATTATATAATGATAAAAGGGTTAATTCACCAAGAAGATTAACAATTATAAATAATTATGCAACAAACCTCAGAGTTCCGTGAAGCAAACTTCGACAGAATTGAAAGGAGAAATAGACAGCAAGAAAATAATGCTAGGAGACTTGAATGTCTCACTTTCAATAATGGCTAGAACAAGCAGACAGAAGATCAACAAGGAAACAGAGAACTTCAACAACACTACAGACCAGTTGTGCCTAACAGACAATAAAGAACATTTCTCTCGACAATAGCAGAATATATATCGTTCTCAAATGTACATGGAACATTCTCCAAGATGTTAGGCTACACATGTTAGGCTACAAAACAAGTCTTAACAAATTCAAGAAGACTGAAATCATACAAAGTATCTTTTCTGATATCAATAGCACAAGGAAAATGAGAAAATCCACTTACTATTCTAATACATATTAGAATAGAAGGTTATGGAGTAGAAGAATTAATCTTCCAAAGATCAATGATAAAAATACATTAATTCTCAGTACTTTGTGTGTTCTTTAGTGATAGTTCTACATTTGGTAAACCTAACTATTCAAGTAGTATTTATTTGTGCTGAGGATATAAAAAAATTAGAAGATAAAGGAAAAAACTAAACAGACTTGTTTGTTATATTTTAAAATTGCAAAATGATATGAATATGTCATTGGACAATAATGTAAATAGAATTTTCAATGCCTTAATGTATTATACCACTTGATAAATTGATATGTAAAATGAAGCAAAATGTGCGAAAATCCCTAATGAATGCAGATATATGAATTGCTTGTCACAAATTAAACATATTTTAATTTTTTATAGCAAATAATGTGTATACTGCTAATATAAGTAGAGTGAGACCTTTTGCATTAAAATGGTGCCTGCATCAGATATTGTCTAGATATGCAATAACCCATATGCACATCTTGGAAATAATTTTTTTTAGCTGAAATCAGCAATTCTGTGCAGCAGTTAATAATAGCTAAAATATTTGATTAGACATTTATAGCCAATGAAAACTGAGGGCAATCACTGGGAAATTCAAACTAAAAATAAATTTTTATTCAGTAAACTAATAAATTGCAATAAAAATGTCTTGTGTTTTTAAACTCAATCTACAGTACTATTTAACCTTCTCTGGTTCTTTTGCTCGGGTAGACAGACCTACCCTAACAGTTTTATAAGGCAACAGTGAATATATACAATGCTTTCAAAATATATTTAGAAGGTTAGTATCGCAACTATGCATAGAACAGGCATTCTCTCCTATAGTCTGATTTGAGGAAAGCAAAAAAGTTCAGCTGCCCAAAGGCACATCTATCATTTGTTTGCTAAGGACTCTCTGAGGACTCTTCAGGAAGGAGACAGAAGAGGGAAACACAGAAATTCATTATCATATATTATATATATCAATTTATTAATAGTAGTTTGTTCTTAGATTAGCTTGCTCACCAGGTTGGAAGGTCCAAAGGGGATTAGACAATGAGTCAATATATTCTGATTGTGGGGGAAGCTCAGTAAGAAAGGCTGAGTACATGGGACTCTGCCAGGGAAAGCAGACCTAGATGGAACAACTCAATGGGACACCTTGGGAAACTGGATGATAACCAGAGGACATCAGAAAGTTGAGAGAACATTGATAGCATGTATATATTACCTCCATTCTATTAATATCTTTGTCCCAAAACATACCTGTTACAACAAATACATATTTATCCATTAAAATATAGATATGTAAAGCATGCCTTTTCATTTCCATATCATTCAACACATTGTACTAATGATTAAGGACTTGTATTTTTACCTGCAATATTCAGAATCAGTTCTGGGTGGTGTTTGCATTCTTCCTACTGGTGAGTAGCTTCGACATCTCTCTGATTGGCCATGAGATCTTTCTGATTGACCATAAGATCTCTCTGTTTGGCCATGAGATCTCTCTGATTGACCATAAGATCTCTCTGATTGGCCGATCTCTCTGATTGACCATAAGATCTCTCTGATTGGCCATGATATCTCTCTGATTGACCATCAGATCTCTCTGATTGGTCATGATATCTCTCTGATTGACCATAAGATCTCTCTGATTGGCCATGATATCTCTCTGATTGACCATAAGATCTCTCTGATTGGCCTAGAGATCTCTCTGATTGACCATAAGATCTCTCTGATTGACCATAAAATCTCTCTGATTGGCCAAGAGATATCTCAGATTGACCATAATATCTCTCTGATTGGTCATAAGATCTCTCTAATTGACCATAAGATATCTCTGATTGATAATGAGATCTCTGCAAGTGGCTTTGGAATCCCTCTGAATGGTGTCGATTTTCTTCTGGTTGGCCCAGAGATCCTTCCCAATCATCTTGACTTCCTTCTGATTGATGCTGGTGCCCCTCTGATTGGCCTCGATTCTTCTCTGCTTGGGCCTTATAAATGTCACTGTACTTCTCCTGCAGAGAACCCCAATTATGCAAAACAAATGAAACATATAACCCATGATTTGATTAAGTCATAATGATATATTCTTAAGACAACTTCTGTAACTGTTTCTTTTAGAATTCCACTGTGCCTACATTTATATATTAACCAGTTTTCAGAATTAACTTGCAGAATAGCTCTGATGTCATTGACACAAAGAATATTATGTACATAAAATTTAATAAAATAAAAAATATGGAAAACTAGTTGTTTTATGAGTTCGAATATATTCCGAGGTCATATTCTACCTACCATTTTCTGGACCTATTGTTTTACTAAAGAAACGACAGATTCTTTGACTTTATAGCTGAGGAGAGACAGAATATTTAATAATATTTTGTAATACAAATCTTTAGGATCAAAGGAAAGTGTTCAAAACCATACTGTTTATTCTTTGTCTGCTTGATGATCATTGAAGGAAACTATCCATCTCTTCAATATAAATTAATACTTAATTCTAGAGAGAAAGACAAAGCAAGTGAAGGGGAAGGAAGCTATAAAGGGAGCATAAGGTTGGCTTAATACTATTAAAGTAAATTAGACTGGCAACAATGCTGCCTTTCTAAGTTTTAAATTTTAAAGCCAAAAGAGCAGTGAAGTGAATAACCTGAATGGAAACAGTGAAACCTCTGACAAATCTCTATGATGCTACATAAATGTAAGTGGATAAAGTCATATGGACCATGCTGAGAAATCAAGCTTTCTTTTTAGTAAATATTGCTTGACAAGGAAAACATGTCCTACATTTGGCACTATGGCTTTCTAGTTTAACAATACCAGAAGCTGGAAGCAACTGTTAAACAGCAGGGGAAACACCAGCATAAATAATATTATGCATAGAAAACTTTAATAAGAAAAATATGAAAAATTACTTACTTTGCTAATGCATAAAGCCATAGCCACTCTCCAGCTTTTATATTAAAAAACTTAAGTAAGGAGATTGGGTGGAACGCATATGTACCTCTTCTCCTTTTTAAGTGATTAGTGTTGGGAAACACAGTGAGTCAAGAGGAAAGATAGGACTGAGATTCGTCTCCTAAGGACCCATATGTACCCAAGTACCTTTCTAAAGGAGCTTGCAGTCCTTTTATAAATGTTTATTTAAGAAATATTTTCATCAACTTGGATACTATAGATTTCCTATCTTTAGAAAATGAAATGCGCATTAGTTTCCTATTATATAATAAACTAGTAGACACCTTCCATCAAAAAGAATTGTGTTGAATAAATGCAATTATGTTTTATTGATACTAAAATTAAATCTTGTGAAGTACAAAACTGGCTTATTAGCATTGCAAAGCATTACTGAAAACTGTAATTATTCAATTTATTGGTAAAATAATTATGCTTAAATTTTAATATATTTCTTTACCACGGGGCATTTTTTTTTCTGGTGAGTTCTGCTATAATGATAGTCTTAAAAGTTTCAAAAGTATGAGCAATAGAAGGATGCTTTCAATTTGAAAATACTGTTTTACAATATTCTCAGTTCATTTATGCATCTTGGACTGCAGCAAAAGAAAGCTCATGTTCTTCTTTCCAAACTTTATCAAAAACCTTGTCATCCTACAAGGCACAGATCAAACGCCATCACCTCCATCAAACTTTTTCAAGTCCCTCCAATCAGAATGAATAACTACATCCCCACAATATATAAACTATTAGAACACATACTGTGGCCTGCTTGGCATTACATTTCTCTCTTATCTTTCTCTCTCACCACCACATACAATATTTGAAGCAGGCTGTTCTGGTACCACAGTTCCTGTATAGAGTAGGCATTGAATCAATTGACATTTATTAAATTTAGATGAATCCTTCAAATATTTGAATGCAACATGTTTCTATTCAAAACAAACAAATAAATATTTGCATTTATGTAATTTGGTAAAAATGGTTTAAGCTCCCGGAACTGCCGTTTTTGCTAAAGGACCACATAACATCTTAAGACGAATCGGTTTATAAAGCCAAGCTAAAACATTAGTGCCAATGTTAGCTCATAAATCTGGATATGAGCACCTCTCGAATTCCTGTCAGTGACTGGCTCACCTATACAAATTTAGAGGTGATGGATTTGTATAAGTATGGTCTGTCCCACTTGTTGGTCCCAAAGTATATTTCATATCCTATATCATCTGACTTCTGGCTTTTACAATTCATTCACAAGGCTACTTAAACTATTTTTATACTGTAAGTTAAGATCAAAGACTCTGTATGAGGACAAAAATGAGAATGATTATATAGGACACATCACAATAACCAATAATCTATTTTGGCATTTTATAAATTTAAGATATCTAGCAATGATCGAAAATAGCAAAAATCAACTGTTTATTAAAATAGTTATGGGTTAAAACAACTAATAAATATTGAATTTAAATTATGTTCAAGGCATCACTAAGAAACAATCCTTGTACAGAATTTAAAATAATCCTTAATATTAAGAAAAATACTAAATTTAGGACCTTTTGTATTGTCTAATTGTTGGTATTTATTTACCTGCTCAATTAAAGGCTGCCTGTTAAAAGGGCCTCGTCCATAGTTGAATCCAGAAGGTTCTTGGTGTGGGTTGTTATCACAATTTCTTTCCCCAAAGTTGTTTCTGTATCTTGAGTATTCTTTAAAAAATAATTATTTTCTGTAGTTTCAGTCAGTAAATTCAACATATCTTTCAGGAGTATTATCTATGATCTCATTTTTAAAAGCTCTGCACTGGGTTTTGTAAAACCTTTGACATTTAATTACTCCGATATCAACTGGGAGTCTTATTGAATTCTAGAACAGTTTTTGCCATACTATTTTTATTTGCATATCTTAGTAGGGTGGTCTTCTCTGTACATAATACCTCAAATTTGGTTTCATATACCACCAAAGTTGGGACATGTTATCTGAAATTAATTGAAAGAATACTCCAATAGAAAAAGGAGAGACAGAGGAAAACTGTCTGTTGTGTATTAATCATGTGGATATTTGCCTCAACTGTCTTCTTTGCTTTGGATACTAAAGACAGTTTAAGAAACTATCAAAGAATATAGCTCTCCTAAAGACTCACAAAAATCAATTTTATGTTTGGGTAGGAACATGAGAATGGGCCATCTCACGATTCTTAGCTGCTTTGACCCTACAATAACCAACATCCCTTTCCTTTCTCAACAGGTTGAGCCACAGAAGATTCAAATAAGGACTTTAATGAAGCTGGGTATGCAAATGGTAGAGTACGCCCAATATCAAGATGGTTCTTACCTGTTGACTAGACCATGAAGACCCTTAATTGTTGAAAAGACTTCCCTACTGTGGCAATCTGCAGCACATTCATATTAAAATATGCACACTGCACTGACCAACAAAGTTAATGATATAGAGGACTTTATGTTCTACCACACTCTCTTTGGCCTACAACATTCCTTTTTTTTTCCCAAAATCTGGATGCCATGGTGCTCAGATTATCGACCATGCTCTTTAACCCTACTGTATTGCCTTCTAAAAGTGGAACTGGACTAACCAGCCCAGGCTTGTAAATGAGTACAAAGCATTTCTCAGCCTATATGATTACTTTTCTCATCCTGCCCTCATATAAATAAAAAAATACTCATATAAATTAAAAAAAAATTTTTTTCATTTGACATGGCATAAATTCTTACCAACCTTGTATAAGTCCATATCCAGAAAAAATAAAACAAACAACATAATGCAACTTTAGAAAAACATTGCAAGTTCTTGAATTTGCTTACCTAGTTATTCACAAATATTTCAGAATCTTTTTACCACCTGTGATTTTTTTTTTTTTGAGACAGAGTCTCACTCTTTTTGCCAGGCTAGAGTGCCGTGGCATCAGCCTAGTTCACAGCAACCTCAAACTCCTGGGCTCAAGCAATCCTTCTGCCTCAGCCTCCCGAGTAGCTGGGACTACAGGCACGCACCACCATGGCCAGCTAATTTTTTCTATGTGTATATTTTTAGTTGTCCGATTAATTTCTTTCTATTTTTAGTAGAGACGGGGTCTCGCTCTTGCTCAGGCTGGTTTCGAACTCCTCAGCTCAAACAATCCGCCCACCTCGGCCTCCCAGAGTGCTGGGATTACAGGCGTGAGCCACCGCGCCCGGCCACCCACCCGTGATTTTTTAGTATACTTTACCTCTCTGCCCGTGGTGCCTACGAGACCTTGACTGCCATTTTGGATACCAGTTATTTTTTCTATAGTTCTCTTTCTCATTCATTATTTCTTCAGTGCTTGTGTTTTCTATCTTTCTAAAACTTATAATCTCAGCTGTATTAAGAAATATATAAAAGTGAAGAAAATAGAAAAAGCTAAATAAAAACAATGTGTCTCAAGCAAATAATCTATATTCTATCTCATCATATTTCAGAACACTTAAAATTTGGTATCCTTAAAAATAATAATATTATAATAATGAATGTGTAAAACAATAACCAAAGTCAAAAAATACAGATATTTTAGGGTTAGTTTCCTGGAAAAAGAAAGAAAAATTTCTGTTATACTTATGGTAATTTCATTTATGCAAAACCAAAATACTGTCAGATTGTAATAGCTCAAGGGGGAGAACATCTAAATAAATGATTTGACTAAATGTTATTTTTGTTTCAGAGAAATACAGAGCAATAGTGTCATCACTGATTAAATTTAAGTGCTAGACAATTAGTTACACATATTTTCTCCAAAATTTAGTTCACAGGAGATACCACAGAGGTGAGGAACCTGGGTTATTTGAGTAGCAGGAAGCAATCAGACTTTACTTTGTGTCAGGCATGTTCTCATGTACTCGAGTAGAGAGCACTTAGATGGCATGATTTGAATGATGGGAGACAGGTACAACCTGCTGTAAAATGCCTCTCCTAACATCTGGAATGGAAAGATCTACAGGTGGGATGTTCTATCAGTGGATGAAAGCTTACTTAGGTTAAGACATCTTTAGAAATAAGCACAGGCTAGAGATTTGGAAGGAGCAAGAGATTCTAAAAGAAAGAGGAGGAGCTGAAAAGGGCACAGAAGAGGCAGTTGGGTGCCAAAGATTAAACCACTCCTTTATTATTTTGCTTAGTACTAGTCCTGCCTCAGGTCTCTAAATATCTAATTCTGATTTTCTTTGAAATATCTGACATCTCCAAAGGTTAAAGACAGTGTAAAGCTCAACAATCAATTGAGTGTCTTTGCTCTTTCTTTTTAATAGAGATTTTTTTTCTTTCTTGAGAAACTGAAGACTTGGGTACATCAAATAAAACCAATTTCTGAGGGGAAATAAAACCCACAATGGAAAAAGACGTTAACACTGTCAGGGTCATAGCAGAACCCAGAGAATATATTTATATAATTGATAAATTCTAGGTGCTTCGTAATTGACCTTTTGATATAAAACCACCTATTAAATTTATAATTTGTGACTCTCGGTGTTGAGGTCCATAGGACAAGCTAGAAAGTCTTCAAACCTTGAACTGATTGAGTACCATTTCTTGATAACCCCATTTTAAACCTTGGTTCTGTCTGTATCTCAGCAGTTATTGGTTGTAACATCTCCTGCAGACATAATCTTTAGTTTTCTGTTCCTTGTATTTCTTATGCATTCTCTTTTCTTTTTTGTTTTTCCTCTGTTCTGTTTCCCCAATACTCTACATTTAAAATCTGTACAAAGTCTGTACAGATTTTTTTTCTCATTACAGTATAAGAGAGTGTACGAACACCATATGTTATAGGACACCACAGGAAGATTTTTAAATCTCCAACCTCCCCATCAAATCTGAAACAATCACTACCCAGTTTATAGGGACCCAATGAGATGGATGACTTCCTAAGCAGGACAACAAAATTTCAGAGAGGAGAAAGTGAAAGCAAGCTCCTTCCTCAGTACCTTTTGCAATGACATGAGGGAATGCTCTGGGATCAGTCTGTCTTGTGGCACTCAGAGACAATTTGCAGTGACTTTTAATTTTTCCACTCCTCAGAGTCACCAAAGATAATTCTAGTGGCTAGCTCTGTCTTAGAATCACTTGGCAAAGAACTGGTATGAAGCTATTATCGAGCTTGTTCTGATATAGTACTATACAGGAATGCTATAGCATGGCTTTAAATCCTGTCAGGGGCCTCATTTGCCCAAAAGGACTTAAATCATTTGAAGTTTCAATAAAACCACCCTGCAATTCACATTATCCTTTTTAACTCAGGGATGAAATAAATGAAATGGCTCCAGAAATATCTAGAGACCTCTTCCCCTATAAGCAAATCCTTCTCAGATTAATTTTTATCTTACACATAACACCATAAAGACAACTTTAGTCTTAGTGTTATCCTGGTAGTGCCACATTAATTCCATAGGATTTTCTGAATCCTTTCCCTTTGAATATATTACTGTATGGAAGCATTTTCCCATCTCAGTCTCAATCAATCCAAATAATATGAATTTTTATTACTATGACTGAACAAACATCAGAGAAAGAGTAGAGAATAGCAGTAGTATTACACAAAGCAAAATGCTTCACATTTCATATGAGATGTGCTTTTTATAGACATGCCTGGTAGAATCATTCCCAAACAGGCTTTGCAGACATCAACTGGCACAGTTCACATTCAACAAATGGGTATAAGTTTCTATCTCCTACCTGACCAACAGCATCAAGCTATTTTGACTCACAGTAATTGTTTTAGAAGAAAAAAGGCAGAAATTTACTCTGGTATCCATCAAAATCTGAGATAAGGAGAATCTCTGAGTCAATAGTACATTATTTTCTCACTTATTTAGCCCTACTCTAAGGCTGTTCACCACCCTCGGCCACAAAAGATTTTGTTGCAGGGTTAAGATTTATGTTTTCTTCAAAATGGTCAATGCTTTCACCCAATTTAGACTCATAAGTGTTAGTACTGCCTTCCCTTTAAAATGTCAGCAACCCCATAATATGGGTTCAGCTTTAATGACTATATCCATAGTTGCTATATAAAATTCATTACACTGAGAGGAAATTCAATTTTCTCTTTCGTATTTTTCCATTTTTGTTGTATTTATTCCACAATTTAATTTCATATCAAAGGGATCATTTGTGCAAAGGAAGATAAACACATCCAAGTAGAGTACAGAAAAATAAACTTCACAACAGGCAACAGCAATTTGTTCTGACAGCCTGTAAGACAGAGAAATGAAACTCTGTTTAAAAGATGGAAAGGATGTCATGGGTATATTTCAGACTTGAAAATAATCACCCACACATTTCTCTCATTTAAACTGCCTCTTAAATCAAATTTTCTGAAATAAGACTAAAATAAAGCATTAAATAAACTATAGAGGCAGAGAGAGGCTGAAAATGACCCTGAATTTGGAATGGAAACATTAAGTGGAGAAAGTACCAATTCCTCATTTTACAGATGGGAAAACTGAAACCCAGAGAGGAGAAATGACTTTTCCAAGGTTAGCTCATGAAAGAGCTTGGACTAGAACATAAATCTCCTGAACATAAAGGGCTTTGAAAGTCATGATAAGATTTTAAAATTTTATCCTAGAGGTCAGTGGTTCTCTACCATGGCTGTACATTAGAATCACTTGGGGATTAAAGGGTTAAAATACAGGACCCCTATTCAAGATTATGACTCAGTAGGACTGGACTGGGACTCAAGTATCTGTATTTTTTTTAAAAAGTCCTCCAAGTAATTCTGATGTTCAGCCAGGATTGCAAACAATTGCCCTGAACAATGAAGAACCTTGAAGAATCTAGGACTGAGATTATGAAAATGATGGTTTGGGGAAATATCAATTGGCAGTAGATTGGAGAATAGAGTGAGACTACAAAAACTAAAACTAGTTCTTTTAGGGGGAGGCAGATGGATTGCAATAGTCTAAGAGTGAAGAGATAAAAATTTATACTAGGGTGGTGTCAGGGAAAAAGTACAAGAAGAACAAGAATTTCTCTTCCTGTCCACCTCAGATGCAACAGGAACATTGACTGCAGAGTCCTTCACAGCCTCATTCCCTTCTACCCATCCCCTTGCAAGCAGAAAGCTCTGCCCCCACAGCTCACAGTATTCTCACTGGACCACCAGTCATCAAAGACCTCTCCAGGTCACAAAGGAAATGAAGCCAAACTGGGAAGGAGGAGCAACCCATAGAGAGATATCTTTAAAATTATGTCAGGGTGAGATGCCTTCCTAGAATTCTCAGTTTGACCCTGAAATACATTATTGCATAAAATATTATTATAAATGGTTGCTGCAATCTGAATATCAGTACCATATCTTTGCTATATGTGCATCAAATAGACTTGTGTATTACCCTAGAAACCTATTCTGCCTTTATAATATTATTTCTATGGGGGAAATTCTTTACATATCCAATAGCTGGCATACAAATGAGGTATTGGAACATAACAATACATTTGCCAGCTGTGAATTGCCTGTATATGATTAAGTATCAACCGAATGAAATAGAGAATAAATGCTCCAGAACTGAAGAAAAAAACTGACTACTGTGTACTGGAACAGCTGCAAAATCCTTGTGACTTAGGTGAGTGGGATATGTAGGATTTGAATGAGGGGAAAGATCTGGGCACTCCAGGAAAGAGAAATAAGACAAGAAGAGGCTTAGAGTCAGGAATTAATATAGTGTGTTCAGGGAGAAGATCAGCTTGGCTCGAATTGAAGATTAAGGCTACAGAGCTCTGAGGGGAAAGGTTAGACAGATAACATAGATACAAGTGATGAAAAGCCTTGAGTGTCAACACCTCAGTATACAGTAATGGAGAGAAGCTAAGGCACAAATAGGGAGGGTAATAGACACCTTATAGGGGGAGAATCCCATATAATCTCTAGCATAGTGTCATGTCAATGTGCCAAATAACAAGCACTAACTGAGAGAATCTTATGAGCCTGGCGAAAAGCTATGTATCACATGAAATCAAGAAATTGATCAATGATTTTTTTTAATTTTTTTTTTTTTTTTTTAGGGATGGGATCTTGCTGTTTTGCCCAGGCTGGAGTGCCGTGGCACCATCATAGCTCATTGCAACCTCCAACTTCTGGGTTCAAGCAATCTTCTCACCTCATCCTCCTGAGTAGCTGGGACTAAAACCACAGGCCACCAGGTCTGGTTATTTTTTAATTATTATTTTTTGTAGAGACAGGGTCTCACTATGTTTCCCAGGCTGGTCTTGAACTCCTGGCCTCAAGTGGTCCTCGTGTGTTGGCCTTCCAAAGCACTGGGATTAGAGGCATGAGCCACCGCACCTGGCCAGATCAATGCTTTGAAATCGTAGATAATTTACATGATTGTTGCACAGCTATTTGAAAGTAATTATAATTTTTATTTCATTATTCGCTGTTATCTAATAATTTTTATTTCATTGTTGGCTGTCTTTATAAACTAAGTCCACATTTTAAAGAAAACTTGTTTTAGCAAAAGCTGTAAAGCTGCCTAAACCACTAAACCACAAAAAGAGAATAGACAAAGAAAATGTGAATGACGGGCGCGTTTAATGTAACACTAAATTTTTAAAAGCAAATATGTTTGTTACTTTCCAACTTAAGTTCTGTATGGCTTCCAATAAAACGGAAAAGCTTTGCATAAAACAGATCTTTCACCTCATTTCTTGCCAAATGCTGATTATTCCATTTCTCTGTGCACTTATAACACTGATATGGTGTCACCTCAAGACAAGCCTGTATGGCACAGTATTCATCTAAACTAATGCTGAGTCCAGACATCAATATTTAAAATGCCAGAGGTGATGAAAGTCAAGTGAGTAGGAAATTTTAACCATAAAGGTACTTCAGATTCAAAAGGGAAAAAATATATATTTCAGCTATATAATCTTGAACATCCATTCTATGCTATATTTTCTGGAAATAAATGTAGTATTTAGGATTTCATAAATGTTTCATATCAAATTTGCAAATGTTCAAATTGAAATATAATTGAAAAAAATGGCATTAGGAAAAGATACCTATGCCTCCAACTTAGAAATGTACCATGAGACTAAAAAAAGACCTCAGGTATAGCTTGAGTGAAATCAGTGAATTTAGCAATGACATTCTTCTAATTCTTTTTGTAAATGGTTCCTTATTTGACTGGTAGGTAACAAAAGAGTTTCTATAGTCCTTTCCAACTCTGAAATTCTATTAACAAGATTAGAAAACTGAAGGGAAAAACTGTAGTATAAGAAGTATTTCTGTTTCATAGAAATTCTGTTAGGTACATAGTGAACATTTGATAAATACCTAATTGAACAGAATTGGCATTTAATAATCAATGACACTGAAAGGTTTTCTCATGTGTACCTATGTGTCCTATAAAATGTACTTAATGTTTTCTATTTTGTTTTTCTTCCCCCTAAATATATAGGTGTATGCTAAGTGGGCCAGAAAGAACAAATGATTTCACAGCAGGAAAAAAAAAACAACTAAAAAACATCAGAGGTCTCAATTTTTCAAACATAACTTATAAATTCATTTAAAAACTTACTTTTAAAAAAGTCCTAATTATTCACACCCTTGGAGTGTGTTGCAGGGTTTTTTAAAAAGTGAAATCATAGATAATTTTAGCCTCTGGACTTTGTAATTCCATTTCATTTGTTGCACGGTAATGGAATTGTAGAATAATATATACAGCACTAGAAATCATAGATCTCATAAGCTATGGTTTAGGGATGAACTTCAATTGCTGCTCAGCCTCTCCATACTGAAAAGAAAACAAATGCTTTTGAACCTGGGTAAGATGTCTAAGGATCCTTCTAACAGAGGCTATGAAGTTATAAAGAAGGCATCCTTAATACAAAAACCAATCTTTTTCCAGAGTCTCATGTTCCCTTCTCTTAGTTCTCAGAATGTATCATTACAGAGACATGGGGCTTTGTTCATGCTGCTCTCTGTAATGATATTGTCCACTGAATCCACTTAGAGAACACTTAGCAATTCTTTCAAGGAAAACCATTTGATCCAGGCCTCACCAAAGAGCCTCAAATTTGGATTTTTGATCTAAGTAAGATATACTTAGTGTCAGAACTATACTGTCAGGATTAAAGAAAAACAGCATTGTTCATACAGTTTTAAACTGATCACACTGCTTAAGGTGACATATATACAATTATATTACATAAATTGTGTAATTTTCTTGTGAAAAGCGTAATTATCTTGCATTGTATTTTATTATGTGTTATAACTATTTATAGTTATAAATATTTAAAATAAATTACAATTTTTGAAAATACCACTTTGTCATTTTTTAAATATTTAAAACACTAGAAACCTCACAAAATGTGACTTAGATTCCTCTCAATTTCTGAGAGACTCTGACTATACATACTTCCAGAACACTTAAAACAACGTATAATTGCACATATTTATTTACCTGCCTTTCCAACTAGATTATGAGGTCCTTCAGAAGAGGGCATTATTTATCAGTGTACTAAGTGCCTAGCAGAGTGCATAATACAAAGTGCATAGGCCGGGCGCGGTGGCTCACGCCTGTAATCCTAGCACTCTGGGAGGCCAAGGCGGGCGGATTGTTTGAGCTCAGGAGTTGGAAACCAGCCTGAGCAAGAGCGAGACCCCGTCTCTATCAAAAAAATAGAAAGAAATTAATCGGACAACTAAAAATATAGAAAAAACTAGCCGGACATGGTGGCGCATGCCTGTAGTCCCAGCCACTCCGGAGGCTGAGGCAGGAGGATCGCTTGAGCCCAGGAGTGTGAGGTTGCTGTGAGCTAGGCTGACGCCACAGCACTCACTCTAGCCAGGGCAACACAGTGAGACTGTCTCAAAAAAAAAAAAAAAAAAAAAACCAAAGTGTACACTTTGTAAATATCTGCGTGTTTATGATCTAACACATCTAGCAGACAGAAAGGGTTCCTTTGTTTCTAACTTTTGCCTTGGTCTCTTTTAGATAAAAGGGATGGACAGAGAAGCCCAGTTCCTATTAAGTTCTTGCTGTTGCCAGTTCTAATTTTGGTCTTATTTTTGCCTTTTATTTGTAAACAAGGACTCTAGTACTTTTTGGGCATGTTTACTAGGGACAAGCGCACCCCGATTTGTAAAGTCCACTCTGCCCATTCTCTTACGAGGCCCTCCCTGGCTGTGCTGCTCTAGCCATTTCTAACACCTGCTCTCCCTATTTGTCCTTTCTCATTTCCAAGGTCTAGTCTCCTTGCTCCTCCCTCTCTTCACTTCTAAGGGTTTCCCTTATTGCTGCTCCTCATCTCATATTTAACGTCTGAACTCCTATTCCCTCACCCTCATTTCTAAAGACTGTTGTCCCTCTCCCCCCTCATTTATAACTCAACCCTCACTGCCCTGTCCCCTTTCCTTTCTAAGTTCCCCCTTCACTGCCCACTCTGCTCCCTGCCTTTCTAACATCCTCCATCCCAGTCCTACTCCTTCCTTTTCTAAGGTCTTTAGCCTTAGCCGTTGCTCCTCTTCCCAGGCATTTTAAATGTCTGCTTCCCTTGCTCTTCCCTCCCCCTTTTGTCCGCTTTCCACCCTCATTTTTAAAGGCTTCCTAGTTCTCCTATTCTATCCCTCATTTCTAAATTCTCCTCTACCTGCTCTGCTTCTCTACCCTCACGCCCTCCCCACTATTTCCGCCGTCTGCCCTCCCTCCCTTCCCCCTACGCATTTCTATGGCGCACTGTCCACTGCCCCGCCCCCTTTTAAGTTTAGCTCTCCCTGCTCCGCTCCCTCACCCTCATCTCTAAGGTGAACCTTCTTTGCCCTGCTCCTCTTCTAAGATCCACCCTCCTTGCTCTCGCCCTCCATCGTGAAGCTTGGATCTCATTGCTCTGCTCTTCCCCCTCTCATTTCAAAAATGGCCCTTGCTATTTCGTGCTCCTGCCCCCATTTCTAAAGTTTCCTTCTTCCCTGCTCTGCTGCCCCTCCCCATTTCTAAAGTCAGCCTCCCTCCTCTGCTCACTCCCCCCTCCCTTAGAAAGTCTCCCCTCCTCTCCCCATTTCTAAGATGGATGACAGCGAGCAGAGAAATTGGTCCAAGTAAAATCCACATTTTCTGGAAGTGGTGCAAATGGAGGGTTTTAAGGGCTTTGGTAAAGGATTTATTTTTTCTAAGACTCCACTCTTTGTGTAGAGTTCTGAGGTGAGAGACGAGAAGGTATCAGCAGAGCGGGAAGGCAGTTCAGAGCGAATAACCAACAAGCATGTCAACCAACCACCCCTTCGAATAACTACGAGCCAACAACCAAATCAAACCAATCACCACTTTGAATAACTACCCGCCAAAACGCAAATCAACCAACCAACCACCCCTTTGAATAACTGCCAGCCAATGAGCAAGTCAAGCAACCAATTACCCCTTGAAATAACCATCCGCCAAAAAGCAAATCAACCAACCAACCACCCCTTTGAATAACTGCCAGCCAATGGGCAAATCAAGCAACCAATCACCCCTTGGAATAACTACCCGCCAAAACGCAAATCAACCAACCAACCACCCCTTTGAATAACTGCCAGCCAATGAGCAAATCAAGCAACCAATCACCCCTTGGAATAACTACCCGCCAAAACGCAAATCAACCAACCAACCACCCCTTTGAATAACTGCCAGCCAACAAGCAAATCGCCCCCGCTTCACACTAGGACTCGGGATCCCTAGAAAAGTAGCCTAAGCCTTACTCGTCCCAGCCCTGGAATCTAGTCATTTCTGACACGCGCTTGCACTGAGAAGAGCGTGTGGCCCCGCGTGTTTCAAGGCGGGGACTTGGTATCATTTCTTAGGAGGGCAAACTATCCTGAAATAGTCATCTTTTTATTTTCCTCACCTCCTCGTAGCAGTAACCTTTAGTCCCCACGCGATTTCTGTCAGCTTTCTTCAGAGTTCCCCACTTATGAGAGAGGAGAGGGCTGGAGGTGCGGGAGAGTGGGAACGGAGAGCGGAGGGGAGGGCAGGGGCCGAGCTGGCCCGGGTTCCCGGGACACAGGGACGCCAAGAGGGAAGCCTCTCCACAAAGGGGTGTGCTCCTCACTCTAGTCTGTCCTAAGCCGAGGTCTCCTGCTCAAAGCCAGCGAGCCCAGACTAGTAGGGGCTGGGATCTGGGATCTACATACCTAGAGACATATCCAGAAAGGTCGGCTTTCCTGCGTTGCCACAGTCTGGCAGCACCTTCCGCGAAAATACTAGCTTTGAAAACGAGGACATCTCGGTGAGACCGCGTCACACGGGAGCCAGGGCTTATGTAGCGCTGCCTCACTGAGCCCCGAGGTCCCAAGGTTCCAGCTAACTTGGTCTCCCAATCACAGCCTTTCCCTTGGTTGTTGGTAAGGCCCAAGGGGTGGAGCTTGCCACGTACCCTTACTAGGTGTCCTATCAAAGCTTGGCTCAGCAGAAAAAAAAAACTCAAAGACCCACCCATCTCCCACCCCCTCACTTCCCGCTATCCCCACCCCCACCTTTCTAAACTTGTTCTCACCTTACTTGCTCCCGCCACCCAGTCAGCCACATGTTTTGTTTTTTTTTGTCTGTGAACTTTTGACCCTTGCCTTTCATAACTCATACAACCCATTTCTCCGCTTTGCTGTTGGCACTCCTGGCAAATAAAACCTTATGTTCTCGACTTGGTAGGCTGGTTCTCTCTTCTCAAATTCTCAGAAGTGACCACAAATCTGGCAGCTAGGGCCCATTCACAGGTTTGCAATGCCACATGCTTTTTGATGACCTCCTTGAAAGTGTCTATGACATTTCTTAAGAAAAATGTGATTGTTCCTGTTATTGCCTAAATGCTGTTCAATAAACCCTATTTTAAGGAAGAATCTTGTCATTGGTTCTTCAGAGGAAATAAAAATCAAATTAATAAATTTTGAAAGCTGAAAACGTGTTCAAGCTGTTACACAAGGACACAACATGCATTGTGATTTTGAAATGTAAATTTACTATTTTTTTCATTTAAGTAAATGCTGAGCACCTGGGACCTAAAGATTGATAAATAAATCTTTTTCTCAAGGCACATACAGTTGCCTAAAGAAAATAAATACATGCAAAATATTAATTCAGGTGCTATAATTTACTCTGGCAACAAATACCGAGCTCCTACTGTGTCAGGTTCTGGGGATACATACATCTACAAAATGTATTTGGTACTCAAAGGAGAAAATCCATCTAAAGAATAAAAATAATTCATTTAAATCTTGAAAAATTAGGGCATAATTGTAGAGGTGGGAATGATAGTTCTTGGCAGAGGAAGCAGCACTACCAACACTCTCTGGAAAGTTCTAGCAATTCCATGTGGTAGGGTACTGAGAGATGAGTCTAAAGAGAGCAGCAGAGATGTAGATCATGGAAGGACTTTTATATCATGCTCAGCGTTTGGGGCTTTTTTTCCTGTTACATTTATTGAGGTATGAAGTGAGAAGGGAAGAGGACCAAGGAATCCCAAGGAAATTACAAAGAAAATTGAATAAAAAATATCAGAGAGATATGGAAAGAACCAGGAAATAGGTATCCGTGAAATAAAAGGAGAATCCCAAGGAGAACCTACTAGTCCATCTTATCAAGGGTTGCTGTAAGATCAAATTAGCTAAGGAATGAAGAATTTATTAAGTTTACTAGTTAATAGATTTGATTTTTTTGCCTTCAGCGGAGTTCTAGCAGGCTGTAAACTGAGGAGTAACTGATTCATTTTTCTTTAACAAACACATATAGCATTTACTATCTGCCAGACACTGTCCTAAGAGCTTAATATTTGATTATTTATTCCTCACAATAACCTCATAATGTAAGAATTAGTATTATCTCTTTTTCACAGGCAAGGAAATGAAGGCACAGAGGCATTTTAAAAAGTCACCCAAGGACACGTAGCTAGTAAATGTTGGAGCTAAATCTTGCTCTAAAAATAATGCTTTTGACCACTACCTGTACACAAGATAGAATAGGGTGTCTTGATTTAAGCCATCATCGTCTGTTTCCTGGCTTACTGCAATAGTTTCCTAACTGATCTTTCTACTACTGCCCTGCCCCACTATATCCATTCTCTACACAGAAGCCAAAGTGAGCCTTTTCAAACATGAGTCAGATCATTGCACTCTGCTCAAAATCCTCCAATGATTCTCCATCTCACATAAATGCCAAAATCCTTAGGAGGGCCTACAAAGTCCTGCATAATTAGCCCATTCACTCATTCTGCTCCAGCCACACTGGTCTTGTTGTTGTTCCTTAAATAGTCCAACCATGTTCCCTGCCTCAGGGCCTTTGCACTTTCTGTTCCTTCTGCCTGGTATGCTTTTCCTCTAAATATTTGCATGGTTTACTTTTTCAGCTTTTTCTTCAAACATTGTGTTCTCTGTGAAGCCCAACATGTCCATTATATTTTAAATTAAATTCTCACCCTTTGTACTTGCAATCCTCCTTCCTTAATTTTCTCCATTGTATAATATTAATCACCACCTGATAGTCTATATATATTTACCTATTTTGTTTTTTACTGGTCTCCCCCCAACACACACACTAGAATGTAAATTACATAAGGGCAGAGATCTCTGTCTGATTTGTTCACTGGTGTATCCCTAGCACGTACAACAGTACCTGGCATATAAAAGGTGTTCGATAAATATTGTTGAATGAATAAATGCAGGAATGAATGTAAAGCCATTGAGCCTAATCACTTCTTTCTTGCTCTCATTCCTCTTTCTCTGAATATCTTGTTTCTCTGAATACTGGCCTTCTTTGCTTATTTGTGTACAGAGCTTAAATATGGTCATTCCTCCACTCTATATCATCTTAGTTAAAACACTGACAACTGAATGACCCAGAATCTGATTGTCCCAACTGAGGTGAGGGCATCTATTTTTTTGGCCAGTCAATTGTGGCCAGCATCATATATAAAACCATAGCTGCAAAAACCCATTTGTGTGTGTGTGTGTGTGTGTGTGTGTATAGGGCGAAGATTTCAGAGGAGGAGGTTGTGGGTTTCACAGATGTCTCAAGAAGTAACAACTACATTGGCAACCTGGCCTAAGAAGTACATGTGAAAAATACACTTAGGTGATTTTGGTGGCTAGTTATTAATAGGAGTCAGCGGTGGGATGTGGCTGTTTAAAAAATCAAATGATACTTTTGTAGGGAAATTTTTCCTTTACTTTGGATGCTTATCAAATGAAGCTCCTTCCCATTTTTGTGAAAATCCCACCATTAGAGTCCTATTGGGAGGCAGAGCCTGTCTCCTGTTATAGACCAAGAAAATTCCCAAGAAACTAGAGCAAAGATGTATTACCTAGACTTGACTAATCAAACACATTCACCCCATATGGAACCTGGCATTAGTAAGGCAAAGAAGCAGGGCCAGTGTAGAATTCATTCTGGCAACAGCCATAGCAACATCAATAGCCAGTTTCCAGACCCAGCAATGGCAGGGGTGTAAACTATGGTATGCAGTGTGTGGCAGTGGTAGCCACATCAGATTAGTTTTGAGGTATGATTTTAGCTGCAATTCTGAATTTCTAGCCTCTCTTTGTTCCTGCACTTTTTCCTGATCCTTGTTCTGTAGACATCCTGGCTAGACTTTGAGCTACGTAACAGACTTTCAATAAATTCCTATTGAATTTAGGATTTAGAATTTCTAACTTAAAACAACTAGAGTTTGTCATGCCCAACTAAGAAGCTTGTTCTTACTGGCATCAATAGAAACATAAGGACGATATACATTGATTTTTGCTTCAGTTTTGGGCACAATATGTTAACTGACAAACTAGAGTGAAACCGAGGAATATCAACCAGGTTTGTGAGGAGATTTAAATTATGTCATGTGAAGCATAATTGAAGAAATTGTGCCTGTAGAACAGAAATATCAAGAGATCACAGTAATTGTCTTCAAGGGAAGAGAGAGTGAATTTGTTATTCGGTCTAGCAGGAGAGAGCAGCATTAGCTCAAGTGGACAGAAGTTATAGGAAAATGGATTTCTGCACTATATAGAGACAAATTTTATAGTAATTAAAACTACAATGATGGAATAAGGTGTCTTGAATTGATATAATTGACACTGAATTTTGAAGCACAAGCTAAATTACTGGCTTTTTTTTTTTTTTTTGAGACAGAGTCTTGCTCTGTTGCCCGGGCTAGAGTGCCGTGGTGTCAGCCTAACTCACAGCAACCTCAAACTCCTGGGCTCAAGTGATCCTCCTGCCTCAGCCTCCCGGGTAGCTGGAACTACAGGCATGTGCCACCATGCCTGGCTAATTTTTTTTCTATTTTTAGTCGTTTGGCTAATTTTTTTCTATTTATAGTAGAGACGAGGTCTCGCTGTTGCTCAGGCTGGTCTCGAACTCCCGAGCTCAAGCAATCCTCCCGCCTAGGCCTCCCAGAGTCCTAGGATTACAGGTGTGAGCCACCGCAACTGACCTAAAATTTTATTAATTCAGTGGAAAAAGAAGCCTGAGGGTGATCCAGTCCAACCCTGTCATTTTATGGAAAAAGGAACTTAGCTCCAGAAAGGTTTGCTATTTGCCCCGCAATACTAGGAATTGGCAGAGCAAGACTAGAGAACTGGTTTCCTGAGTTGCCTTATATTGCCTATCAGGGTAATTTTAGGAGAGGAAGGTGGTGATGGGATATTTTTATTTTTTAATTGTCAAGACATACCTAGAGCATTTTAAAATTTAGAAAACTTTGCTAAGAAGTTTCACTTCAGGGTGAGAATTTTGCTACCATTTTGAATTACCTATTCTTAAATAAATGGAGGGTAAAAATAAATGCATCGAAAACATGAAATTGGGCAAGTAATTGACTAAGTTGTTTCTTTTCTTATTCCTTCTATTTTATTCTGTGACATTAAAATATGCATTTCTATATTTCTTAAATCAATTCACAAATCTTCACAGAGTCATTGTAAGACTTTTCATGAGCAATATGCTTCACATGTTCTCATCTATTTACAGCTATTGTCTTTGCTTGTCTTCTCTTTCCACTACATTGGACAGGGGGCCTCTCCTCTTTCACTCCTCCCCTCCATCCTCCAGCCTTTTTTCTCATTAGGGTCGCCAGCTTCATGGGTTCTGTTATTTAAGCTTAGGCAGAGAGAAGAGATGGAATTGGGGTCCTTCCTAAAGAGTAGAGCTCAGGAAAAAAAAATGCATTCCTGTCTTTTTTCTTCTTTCTTTCTGTTTTTCTTTTTCTTTGTTTTTTTTTTTTTTTGATCCCTTATCTTTCC